ATCTATCTATCTATCTATCTATCTATCTATCTATCTATCTATCTATCTATCTATCTATCTATCTATCTCTATCACCTATCTACCCATCTACCTACCTACCTACCTATCTCTATATCTCCAGTATCTATCTATATCTCTATATCTCTATATCTCTATCCTGTCTGTCTGTCTATCTCATCAACAGTTGCATGTTTTTACCTTCCTGCATAAGATAATTCTATATTTTTTGCCATTTGAAAACCTAATAGTTCCAAACCAGCGTGCAGGTAATCCCTGATTTACTACACAACCGAGCCCAAAATTACTGTTGCTACACAAGACAGTTGTTAATTACGTTCAAGTAAGTGCTGCCCCATTTTACAGCCTTTCTTGATATAGTTGTTAAGTGAATCACTGCAGTTAAGTGAATCTTCTCTCATTGATTTTGCTTGCCAGAAAATGGCTAGGAAAGTTACAAATGATGATCGCAGTCAAAATGTCATCAATACATGCCAGTTGTCAAGTGCCCAAATTTTGATCATGTGACTGTGGAAATGTTGTAATAGTCGTAAGTCTGAAAACCAATCATAAGTTACTTTTTTCAATGCCACTGTAACTTTGATCACTAGACAAATGGTTATAAGTCAAGGACTAGCTAGCTGTACTATAGATCTACATCTATCGGTCAACAGTATCAGCCTGCTATTTGGAGCATAACCAAAGCATGATCTGCACCATTATGTCAGGCAATAGCAATAGCACTTAGACTTATATACCGCTTCACAGTGTTTTACAGCACTCTCTGAGCAGTTTGCAATGTCAGCCTATTGTCCCCAACAACATGGGTCCTCATTTTATCAACCTCGGAAGGATGGAAGGCTGAGTCAACCTTGAGCCCTGTCAGGATCAAACTCCTGGAGTGAGCAGTGAGCTAGCCTGTAGTACTGTATTCTAACCACTGTGCCACCACGGCAGTTCAGACCTTGACATAAAAAGTATTAAAGACACATAGAAATCTCTAAACCTATGCTTCATCTCTTTTTCACAGATACCACATCAGAAAAGAAATTTGTGGAAGACTTTATTGCTCTTATCCGTGGAGGGGCCAGTGAACACATTACAGCACTTGCAAACAAGGACTTGCCCAATGCAGAACTGATGCAGGAGTGGGGGGATGCTGTTCAGTACAACCCAGAGATCATCCGAATGAAGGTTGTATAAAACATTTGTCCCATACTATTAACCAGCCTCAGGATATTCAGGAGAGGGAAACAAAAATAGGTGGGGATTCCTGATGGCGCAGTGGTTAGAATGCAGTATTGCAGGCAAACTCTGCTCACAGGCTGGATTTCACTTCTGAAGGGCTCAAGATTGACTCGGCCTTCCATCCTTCCGGATCAGTAAAATGAGGACTCAAATTGTTGGGGGCAATATGCGGACACTGTAAACGGCTCAGAGAGGGCTGTAAAGCTGGGGTCCCCAACCCATAGGCCATGGCCCATCTTGAGCTGTTTGGAACCAGGGCACAAAGTAGTGACCAGGAGCACTTGTGCGAACAGTGGGCAAGCACAAGCACATGTGCTCCACTTGCACAAACGGTGGGCGCAAGCTTACCTGCCACTCAAACGGAATCTTTCCCTCTGCCCCCCTGCCAGTCTGCAAAGATGGAAATATTTGAGAACTCTGCTGTAAAGCACTATGGGGTAGTATATAAGCCTAAATCCTTGATGGGGAATCTATGGCATGCATGCCATAGGTGGCACACAGAGCTCTCTCTGTGGGCATGTCCGCCTTTGCCCCAGCCCAGCTCAGCTGCGCATGTGCCTCCTGCCAGCCAGCTGGTCTTCAGGCCTGCTGCACATGCACAGGGGCAGGGTGCATGCAGGGGACACACATGTGTATGCATGGGGAACAGATGTATGCATGGAGGGGAACTTGTATTGCTTTTTGGGGCCTTGCACAGCACCCCTGTGCCTTGTTTTGGCTTTCAGTTTGGTGCAGGAGGCCTTCCGAGCCCAAAACAGGGCTCAGGGGGTACTGCATGAGGCTCCCCATACCCTGTTTTGAGCCTGGAAAGCCTCCTGTATCAATCTGGAAGCCAAAAATGGACAGTGGGGACAGGGTGAATGTATGGGGGATGGGGGAGTCCTTTTGTTGAATGCTTTTGCCAAAGCCTTTCGGGATCTAAGCCAATGGGTATGCTCCCTGTAGTAGGAGTGGAAATCAAATAAGAAATCTGTAATCGGTCCAAATTTGAATATGATAAACTTGCCTGATTTCCAAATCTATTGACGCTATTGAACAAATAAGGAAATCAGCTGATGTCCTTTGGAAAAGAAACAATTCTATATACTTTTTATTTTGGAAAAGAAAAAGGCAGCAAGAAATTGTACTCAATTCTTGAAGAGGCAATATAGAAAGCATTTTAATCCAACGAGAGGAAATGCATAGATTTCACAGTATTTGAAACACGAGCCCAATGAACAAGTTCTGTCTCAAATGCACTGGGCTGTATGACTAAAGTACACTCCTGGGTTGTTACCTATTGCTTTAACCAATTTTTGTCTACTGAGAGTTTGTCATTTAATTTGCCTAAGCCTACAAGTAATCAGAAAAAGGAAGCGGAGGCAATTAAATGCAATAGGAAATGTTCCCAAGCTGGGAATATTCCGATTCTGGAAAAGAATTAGACAAGACTTTTAGAAAATGAAATTATTTTCAGGGAGTCGCTGAATATTTAGCATAAAGTCAGGGTTGCTCTCCTTGGGTGGATTGTCCATTTTGGTTTGAAGACTCGAATCAAAGGTGATTCAACCAAAACTGTGAAATGAAACCTAATAATAAACCAAACAGTTGAACCCAATTAGAGGATCAAACTGGAAATCTGTGGATTTCCAAACAATTCCGACGCTTTTGTTTAGGCATCCAGAAGACGCTTTTTTTCCAAATTGGAAATTTGAATTGATCCAGTTCATTTTGTACTTCTGAATCAAACTTGGCCACTATTTGTGGTGGCTACTGTCAGTACAGACTAGCTCTTACAGACAGATACTCTTCTTTGAAGAAGATTATAAGTGGGTGGACGGAAGTGATGTATAATTAATTCTGATTGATTCAAATGCTGCAGCAATTTTTTTTTAAAAAAAACAAGAAATTTACAATTAGTCAATATGTCCTGAGATCACAAAAGATTATTGGGGAAGAAAAATTCTAATGCTTATTCACAGCTGCAAACATCTTGTTCTCAATGCCTTTGAGTTTGGCTGGGACATCACATGACAATTATAGACAATTATTTCATTACCGTAAAAGAAGATCTAGTCATTAATACTGCAGCACACTGTGTCCTCTGTATCACTGTATTGTCAGGCACGATCTCAGTAGCTGGTGTTATCTTTCATACAACCTTCCACCAACCTTCCACCCAGGAGTGGGATTCAGCCGGGGTGAAATGGATGCTAATTTTACATCTGCTTCACTGAACCGGTAGTTGAAAGAACTGGCTGGCCCTGCCAACCCCACTCCACTCCTCCAAGGAGTCTCCATACAGCCCATTTTGTATGCCAGGTAAGTGCAGGGCCTGTGTGGAGGCTCTTGGAGGGCGAAAAACAGGTTTCCTGGAAGTTTCTGACCTTCGGAGGGCTTCCGGATCCCAGGGGAGGACGTTTTCACCCTCCCAAGGCTCAAGGAAAGCCTTCCCCCACTGTGACAAAGGAGGCTGAGTAGGCCACACCCACATGGCCTTGCCCAACCAGCAACTGGGCAGAGAACAGGTTGCTAAAAATTTTCAACCCTACCCCTGCTTCCACCTTATGCTCCAGTCTGCGACTTTACCAACAAAATATGCTGTAAAGGATGTTGTAAAAACAACTGATACTCCTTGCCCAGTAAAGGGAGGTGATCAAGCCACTTTAAGAGCACAATATTTTATTTATTTATTTATTCCATTTATACTGTCGTCCATCTCGCATTCATGAAATTTTATATGAGCGTACCTCCACATTTCTCTCTTGGCATCTATTTTAAATTAATGGTAGGAGATGGTCAGTTGTGTTTGCATGGCTTCACAGGGATGACTAACTGCTACACTCCAAAAGAGATCACCTTGGTGGATTTATTGCTTCAGTCCCTTTAGGGTGTTTGAGTTCTGATGACGTCTGGTACTTTCTGGCACTAATGCTCCCATGAAAGTTTAACATAGATCATTCATTAGTGAAATGAGTCATTTCTGCATGTCAGTTCTAATGTGCTGTCATCGGATCAAGCCTCAATCCACCCACAAAGGATGAAGTTGTCTTTATCGCCATTGCTTAGAGGGAAATCTTGTATGTCTTGGTGGGGTTAGGAAAAGCCTGTATCTGAAACATGTGGAAACCTCCATCTCTTATCACAAACTATTTATTTAGTACTAAAAAATTTTGCGGCCCATTTCACCGCCAGGTGATTCTGGGTTGGTTACAATAAACTTTATTGAGCTTTGTGGTCCATATCTTTTGACTGGACATATTTAGAAATATTTGCAGGGGTGGGATTCAAAAATTTTAGCAACCAGTTCTCTGCCCAGTTGCTGGGTGGGCATGGCCTCCTTGGCCTCCTGCACCACGGTGTGTGTGGATTTTCATCCTCCCCAGGCTCCAGAGGCTTTCCTCGAACCGCCAGGAAGGTGAAAATGACGTTCCCTGGGCTCCGGAGGCCCTCTGGAGGCCAGAAATGGGCTCATTTTCGGATTTCTGGAACTTCTGGGGGTCCATTTTTTGTCCTAACAGAGCCTCCCTGTGGGCCCTGCACTTACCTGGCATTCAATTGAGCCACGTGGAGACTCCTGGGAGGGGCATGGTGTGGTAGGCAAGGCCAGGCAGTCTTTGCAACTACCAGTTTGGCGAACCAGATGTAAAATTAGCATCCGTTTCACGCAAACTGGTCTGAACTGGCTGAATCCCGCCCCTAAATATTTGTGCAAACACAGAAGAGATGAACAGGCCCCCTCTCTGCTCTTGATAGGTGGAACCTCTTTACAATTTGATTACTGCAAATACTTTTGCCAATGCTGCTACACTGAAACAAAACATGAAGCTTGCTCTCGAGGAATTCCATCAGGAAACAAGTAACTGTGGATGCACTCAGTGCCAGGGCAACGGAACCCCATTTTTGAAAGGTAAGTTGTGACCTCTGACCATTTGTCTAATATCCGCGATGAAAATGCTGTTTGCTTTAGTTTCTTTCAACTTTCTCCTTGTTCCCATCCACTATGAGAAAGTAAGATATTTCTCTAAATGTCACAATTGTTTCACTGGCAGCCTAGCAAGATAAAAAACTTTACCACTTTGGCAAGTATAATGGAATCTTATTCATTTACATTTAAGAATGTCTCTTCCAACCCAATTAGGCATTAAACACAGCATTGCAATCTGCTTAAAATCTCTTTCGGAAATAACTTTACTAGCGCACTAGCTCTCTGGCCATTAATTAGTGTTTCTCCCATCTCTTGGAAGAGGAAATGCCATCTGCAACTTGCTAAAAATGGTTATTGTGATCATTACAGGAGATTCTGCACTGGGTGTTCTCCCCTGTTTCGAGGGGGAAGAAATCACTTCTGAATTGTGGCTAGGAAAGGCAAAGCTGGATTAAGGAGCGGACAGATGTTTTGTAAATATGTTGTATGGGTTGATTGATTGATTGATTGAATTTATATGATGCCCATCTCACTATTAAGTGGCTTTGGGTGACTTATAATGTCAAAAATAGCAGTGTACAACAATTGGAAAAATAAAGCATTAAAAACATTAGGCATTAAAAGTTAAAACAATCAAAATTAACCATTTTAGAAGAATGCAGATACAAACATCCAATGAGTAAACAGAATGGAGGTGGGATCTTCTCTTATTCTACTAGCCACCTCCAAAATGGGATGCCCTGGTCAGGATCCCAGGCAGCAGCGGGATTCAAAAATTTTAACAACCAGTTCTTTGACTGGTTGCTGAGTGGGTGTGCCTTGGATGCTGCTGCAGGAAGAGATGCTCACCTTTCTTCCTGGTGCAAAGATAGGTCTTGTTAGTGTGTTACACAACAGAGTTAGTAAAATTGGCACCAAAATACTACTCTGCATTACCATTGTAGTCTCCTGGCTAATGTAACAGTGCTATATGCTAATAATAATCCCATTGGAATAATACAGTTCTTCAGGTAGTCTGCACCACAGGTGGTATTCAGCAAATTCTGATCAGTTCTGGAGAACTAGTAGCGGAAACTTTGAGAAGTTCAGAGACCACCTCTGACTGAACCCGACCCCATCTATTCTCTGCCTCCTGAGTCCCAGCTGATCAGGAGGGAATATATGGATTCTACCGTATCCTTTCCCTGCCACGGCTACCAAGTCACGGCCACCAAGCCATGCCATGCCTACCAAGCCATGTCCACAGAACCAGTAGTAAAATAAATTGAATCCCATCACTGGTTTGGACTCATGCCAGAAAGGGCTTTAAAGATAATAGCCAACAATAATTTGAATTGGACCTGGAAGCAGACTGGTAACCAGGGTAGTTCATGCAACCATCATGCTTCATGGCCCCCCCCTTGAGCATACTAAAATTATTTGCCCGGATACATTTTGTGGAGCTGTAGCTTCTGAATACTCTTCAAGTGTAAGTGGGGGAATATAAAGGAAGCTAACTTTGCTAAGCACAGAGAAGGAAGGCTGGTATCTCAATCTAATCAGCTTCTTCCACTCATAACTACAACACAGGGAGAAATTTTCCCAATGATGCCTTGTGGAAGACCTTGATATCTCAAGCCAATTCTTATCCCAGGACAAAGGAATGGAGACATAGAATGCTACCTTTAGCAAGCTTAGCTTCTTTGTCCCCCTAAACTGAAAAGCTGTGGTCTTCAGTCTCACCTCTCTAAGTTGCAGTGTCTTTCTACCTAGTTATCTACATACTGGAATGACTAAGACCATTTGTTTCTGAGTTGCCTTTGCAAAAACTGTCCAGTTGGCTGAATTAAATGACTTTCCCCACATGGTTGCTTCTATGGACAACCTTTAACCATGGAAACACAACGGTTTAAAACTACCATATTTTTGGAGCACAAGATGCACCTTTTTCCCTCAAAAAAGAGACTGAAAATCTAGATGCATCTTATACACTGAATACAGCATTTTTGGCCTCCTGAAACCCTGCCCCCTTTGCAAAAATGGCTGTGCAAAACCTTTAGGAGGCTTTAAGAGTGCTCCCGGAGGGCAAAAATGAGGAAAAAAACCAGGTCATTTTCCCCCTCCCCCGAGCACTCTATATCTCTTATACTCCGAAAAATATGGTAGACATTAAATCAGAATGTGGACCACTCCTCCCTTTCAGTGCTTTTTATTTCAGTTGTGTTATTCAGCAAATAATCCACAGCACTTCCTTAGCAGGCTGGAGATGTGAAGCATCCTTACATCCTTTTCTCTGCGTCTTTCTCAGTGTGTGTTTTCTATGTCAATCTATGTCTATTCTTTTCTATATGCATCTTTGACAAGCCAAATCCTCTTTTCTCTTGATCTTTGTAGCCCACTCTATAAATAGGTTGGGCTACATTTTTCTATGGGCAGGGCACCCCACTTAATTTTTTATTATAATTTTGGGTGCCTGCCTCTGAGAATGTTAGATCAGCAGGGTTAACATTTTTGGCTTTTGTAGGGCATGAAAAGCTTTGATGATGGTGTTATTAGTGAAAACTAGTGTGTGAAGAGTGTACACTCTTGGGAAATTGAAAGAGATTCAAATCACGTTTGGGGTACATGTATCCGTAGATTGACTATCTTGGCTCAAAGTGATTGGTGACATGTTATATATGAACTGATATTTATTACATAATTAGAACTGATGTATTTCCCGTCTCTGCTGTTGGATTTCATGCCAGTCATATTATTAAAATTATATCTTCCCTAATATTATTGTTATGTTTTATCTAATTTAATTATTCTTAAATGTGCAATTGAGAAGTTGAAGAGATTGAAGGTTTTAGAAATAAAGCCAATATCATTCTGTTAGATCTATGCTGCTTTCCCCAGGTTTGATAACCTCAACCATTCAACTTTTTATAATTCTGAGCAAGCAGCAATGTTTAAAACTATGTCTAAAAAACTTAAGTAGGTTACCCAACATCATTTGGGGTACATAAAGTTCGACTGTCTTTCAGCTTCCACAAAACTTTGAAAATATTTAACTTAGCAGATGGAAAAATCATATACAATGATGCATTCATTTTCAATTAATTCAGATGTAATTATATTTAAATTGAAATCAGATTGAAGGATTTTGTTTTCCTGGCTCCAACCACTTCTTGAAGTAAGTTCTACGCTCTATCCAAGCACGACACTCAAAAACCAAGTGCAGCCCTTAACCCCCTAAAGTCTTGCTTACTCTGTGTGTGGTTTCTGGATCATTGGATATGTGGCTCTGCAACAGATAAACATTGTGTGCAATTTTTTTTTAACTGAGCTGCAGGTAGGAAAGATGCATTCCCTGGGTTCCTTTGCTCAAGTGTGATTAGACGCATAAGGGAACAAATTCCTCGTGTGTCTAATCACACTTGGCTAAATAAAGTATTCGATTCAATTCAATTCGATACCATGTCATCTGTCGTCTTTGTGATAACCGTTTCTTTGGGCAGGACTGGAATAGTTTCCCTTCCCATCTGCACAATTAATCCTTTCAATTATATCTCAGTGGTTTTTGCAAGTGTCTGAAAATTGCCTGGGAAATACCTCTAATTCTACTTTTTCCTTTTAGGGACTCGCTGTGAATGCATTTGTCCCCTAGGACACGAGGGTACTGCCTGTGAAAGAACACAAAGAACAAGTAAGAGACAACAGGGTGACACCTACTCCCATCCTCCACCCTTATTTATTTTTTCCCAAAGCAAAGTAGTCATTGACTGTAGAGTTGTAATGCTGCTCAGCCTAGTTGTGTTGCACCTATCGTTTGTTGTGTTGCAGGTATAATTTCATTATAACCATATAATCCCCAGATTGGTACCAAATGTGTTCTAATGTGAAAAACATTGACGCACGATTATCAGGACAACGTATTAAAATGTTAAAATGTTTGCCAGAGCAAATCCTCCTTCTAGATACATATATGTATCTGTAAAAGATTGGAATCTGTACCTGTGTCCTTTCCTTTTCATACTGATCATCATTCTTTGGCCTGTACTATGTAAACCACTTCAGGTGCTGCTTTTCCAACTGGGTTGGTATGAACAAATTTGGCCTTCCCTGAACTTTGAGACAAAGTGACTTAAGACATTTTCCTCTCTGGTAGAGAGAGAATAGACAAATGTTTTCCTCTGTTGTCTGCACTTAAATCTGTATGCACAACCAATGGGTGAATGGCTCCCACAGAATGTTTGGCCTTCCTGTTTGTCCCACCATTGAAAGTATAAAGCCACAACACTTCCTCTGATGGTCTACTACAGGTAGTCCTCAACTTACAACCACAAAGTTATGTTGCTAAGTGAGAAATTTATTAAGCAAATTTTGTTCCATTTTACGACTTTTCTTGCTATATTTGTTAAGTGAATCTGGCTTCCCCATTGACTTTGCTTGTCAGAAGGTTGCAAAAGGTGATCACATTACCCAAGACACTGCGATGTCATAAGTATATGAGCCAGTTGTCAAACATTTGAATGAAAATCATGTGTACTTGGGGATGCTGCAACGGTAATAAGTGTGAAAAATGCTGCTGTAACTTCAAACAGTCACTAAATGAACTGTTGTAAGTTGAGGACTGCCTGTACTTCCTTGTACTAAGACACTGCATCTATTATCTTGTCAATTTGTGGATGCCACTGCTTAAATCCTTTTTACTTGTTCCACACTAATTTATTTCAATCAAGGCAAGGCACAGTTAATAACATGGATAGCAATATTACATTTATGAGTGTGTTCTTTTCTCTTTTTAGAAATTATTTTGCTGTAGTTTATATCAAAAATTATAAATATGATTATGGTTCCATTTATTAATCTGCTTAGACCAAATCAGAATTGTGAAAATTAGGACTGACATTACCTTATTTGTTTGACCTCATAAGATCACTGTTTTCTCCCCCCAGATGTTCCAATTGATGGAAACTGGAGCTGCTGGTCCAGCTGGACCCCAAGTAGTGGAAGACAAAAATCTAGAAGCCGGCAATGTAACAACCCACCTCCTCAAAATGGCGGCAGTCCTTGTCCAGGGCCAAGTCAGGAAACTACTTAATGATTGTGTTGAAAAGTTGTTTGGAAAGGGAACATGCAGGTTATGCTGAGTTTTGTTCATAAATCCAAACAGTTGGATGATGGGTTAAATGATAAATAGTGCAGTCCCATTTAGAAATCCTTTTTCAGATGTGGAAATGTATGAATGAAATACAATAAACTTTAGAGCCTACAGAGGAAGGTACCACATATTACCTTTTGGATTAAAAAAATGCATACTGTTTTAAAATCTGTTTTATGAATGTTTATTATGCCAGTCATGAGAGAGCTTAAGGGTGCAGAGGTACCTTGTAATATTAAAGGTCATCATTTCCCCTTCCAGCATTAAGAAATATTGACCTTTTTCAGATAGTTAAGTAAAGCAACTTCTAGCAAGAACATATTACTTATTTTTCTATCAATGTAACAATACAGCTTTTCTAATAGTCACTGGAGGGTATTTCTAGCTGCTGAGATACCTAGGATAAATGAAAGCTTAAATCTCAATCAAAGCAGCCTCGTCAAATATAAACTTGAAAGCAATGTGACAATAAATCCTGTTTCCCATTTATTGCCTAAAACGTAACTGATTTAGCCAATTAGGTCGGGTTTTTTTTTAAAAGAAAGAAAATATGGATTGTGAACTTCTTTCAAATACCACCGTGACCCTCTAGTTTCTTATCTGTGTAATAATGATATGTTTATTCATTGCATGAATTCTCCCAGCAAATTACTTTTCAGAAGTATATATTCACAAGCATTTTGGAGCGCCATATAAACACAAACTAAAATTAATGAAATTCATAAAGATCATAGGGAAATACTTTGAATTTGTGCACAATAAAATAGATTAATTGTTGCCTTGTGTAACCTTGCATCTGGTGATCATTGTCAAGGGAAAGTAGAGATCTTGATAAGTACTTTGAATGGCACAGTTATCGAGATTTACTTTCGTTGCTGCCCAGCCAGAAGAGAGAAATCACAAGAGTCCTTTCCTTCTTGCTGGCTTGTTGTATAGCACTTGCAGAAGGACAGCAGATTGAGTCTGAAACAACAATGCCTGGATCAACAGGCAGAAGATATCACAAATGGAAGGGGGGGGGGGTAAGGCCATGGCGTAAGAGTTAATCCAAATTTACTCCAGTATCTGGAAGGTTTGAGCAAGTGCTTTTACGTAAAGGCTTTTATGCACCATTTTAAGAGTATCCACTTATTTGGGCCAGTTTTAATTAAGAATAAACTAATCCAGGTGTGGGGGGGAGAGATAATTCAGAATTCAGGATTTCCTCTGGAAAAGGACTTTATGTTTATCCTAGGCTCTAAATCTTCGGGTTGCATTTTTAGAGCCTGATGAGGTTTTAACTTAGAGAACTATTTCTCTGGTGCTAATAAGAATAATTTTAGGCCTGTTTTCTCCTGGTTAATGGGTTTGGAAAAGGCTCTGTATTTTCAGATGATGTCTTTCCAGATGCTCTTTCTATATGCTGTATTTGGGATTCAGTCCAAAATATTTTAGGTATTTGTATGCCAGCTTTTGAAATACATAGAGAAATATCCAAATATATATTGGGGTGGGGGAGAGATAGCATGGATGACACAATATATATCCCTTGTGTGTCCAATCACACTTGGCCAATAAAGAATTCTATTCTATTCTAGTCATGGAAATAGAGATACAAGTGAGGAGTTAGGGTTTGCATTGCACTGCATATTTATAATCTCATCACCTCCTTTGCATAGGAAATCTGCCTGCCTATCTCAGCACATCTAATCTTTGGGTGGATCTGTAGGGCGAATGCTATGATTCCTCCAAACTGCCTTCTTTTTAGAGGAATCGACTTCTGCTGCTAAAGGACATCCATCTAGTTTAGCCCCCTCAAAATCAGTGAGATCAAAATATGCAGTTAAATGCTTAGAAGTCATATATGTAGTTAGGTGAGATGTATGCTAACTCCTGACATTTTTAGGCCACAATTGCTTAAAAACATGCAATTGCACCAGCTTCCATCATATCTATCGCAGTACAGTTCCATCCATCTGCAAAACCCTCATTTGAGAGCTTAATGAACTGCACATTTTAACCATTCTTAACATTCATTTGGGTCACTGATTAAAAACAGCACAAGGCTCCATCTGTCATCATCCTTATCCTTAGTGCTGCATTTTATTTCCGTCTGTCCGTTTGTAATTTTCTTTTAAAATGGAATTGCTCATTTCATCTGTTTCATGGGTTCAGGGGAGAATGTTGGGTTCATTAAGTAGCACAAATCAGATCCATCGCACATGAGGGACAGAATGGCAAATGTTAGAATAACCTTAGGTGTTGCAATAAGGGATGGGATTCTAGGTTGGGGTACTACTATGGTTATTATTTTGTTATTTTATGGCAATATCAATTGGTGTATTATCTCTCTCTTCCTTCCTATAAACAATGAAGTATGCTATTATTTTCCTTCCTTCCTTTTTTTCTCAATCTTTCTCTCTTTCTTTCTCTTCCACATACATGCACACTTTTATTTACACATACACATTCTGTCCCTTTAATGGTATGTGGGAATATTCTTTGGAAGTAGAGGAAAGAGTCCCAGTCACAGGAACCATGGATAAGAGGCAGCTTAGCTTGCACAAGGAATGAGTGTAGCCACGAGTGTAGTTTCTTAGGCTGTAAATGCAGCAGTGGAGAAATGTACTTCCAGATTGTTGTCAGGTAGGTAGTCCAGAGACAGAAAGCATACCCAGATGAACTAATTCTACTTTATGTAAGGTTACATTAGCAGAATCTGAAGGTATATAGCTCCCCCCATCATTTTTACAGCCCAAGAAACTAGGAAGGGTCCCTTCTGAGATTTTTGCCACATCTCCATTCGTTCTGTGGGCTATGCTGCCTCTAATTGGACTGTTTTCCAACCCCTGTTCTGCAAGGTCATTCCCAAATCCCACATCCAATTAGAGTCCCATATTACCTGTTCTCAAGTGCTTACCTAGAGCGCTTTCCAATGCGTGATTTCCAGAGGACTATGGATGAGAAGTGCTACATATGACTGGAGCAATAGGCTCCACCAAGGTCCTCCATTCTGGTGGGAAAATACTCAAAGCCGATTGGCTGAGCGGTCCGACAGCTCCCTATAAAAGGACTAGCTGTCAGACAGGAATTAACTCTTCTTTTTTATTGAATGTTCCTAGTTAGACTCCTTAGAAGAGCACCAGAAAAAAAAAATCATCAGCTTTGACAACAGACAGTAACGGCTACCTATATTCAAAACATGTTTGGTGAGAAGCCGAGGAAGGAATTTTTGGATTTCATCTCCCAGCTGTTCAAATTATAGGAATGCATTTTGTTCATAAACATTGACCTGTTAGTCTTTACAGATATATAGCTTAGAATATCATAGCTTTCATACAGTGTTTTTCACACTTGGCAACTTTAAAATGTGTGGACTTCCACCACCTAGAATTCTTCAGCTAGCATGCGATCGGGAGAATTCTGGGAGTTGACATCCACACATCTTAAAAGTTTCTAAATTTGAAGCGCACTGCATTAATTACTGCTTTTTTATTGGTGTTTTAAGATACATTTATTGTTTTAATGTTTTTGTTGTTTTGAATCTTATTTTGCATATGTTATCCAAAGGAACAAACTTTGGTCAAAAGGCAGGATAGAAAGTTAATGAATACCACATGAATATAAATGAACCAAGTTATGAAATGAAAAGGTAAACACTTACACAGTTAAGTTCCCATCCTGATGATGACATAGAGACATGTGGTGGCTTGTCACTGCTTTTACTGTTTGATTTATCTTTTAAGTTAGGGGTCTGGCCTATACCTTCCCATTTGATTATTAATCAGATCTGACCTTGCTTAATTTCTGAACCTAACAAGGTTAGGAAGATGCTGAAACTTACTTTGTGAAATACAGGTATTCAAAGAAACTTCTTTTTTTTTACTGCCAATTACACATGCCTTAATATCTGAAACAAAATGTCAACATACTTCCTTTCTTTTCAAGATGCATCAAGATATCTAAGTGTTGTTGCTGCAGAATCCGCTTCCCAGCTACCATTTCCGATGGATTTATTTTAGCAAATAAACTCTTGGCTTTCTGATTAGCTTTCCTCCATTTCAGATACACTCATCACTTTTCAAGCAGAAACTCAAAGCTGCCCAGTTGGACAAGAGGAAAGTCTCTTATGTAAATTTCCCCCGTCTTTTCTAGCATAAATATGAAGCAGGACTGCTAGGAACTCGTGGGTTCATTAAGTACCTATCAGTTGCATCCGATGTTTGAAACACACACCACATCATAATGCTGAATGGTTCACTGAGCTAAAATAAATCAGGATTTTTGACAGCAGGGCAACCCTGGGGAGCTGGGTGGGAGAGCAGAAATACAGGAAAGAAACTTTTCAAGGATCAGTAAAGCATTTATCTCATTAGACATGGAAGGTGAGGGGACAGGGGGAACAGCCCAAAGGACAAGGATAACCAAAATGTTTTGCAGGGTCTTCTTTAAAACATGACAGTCTTTCTAGAGCCACAATATTCTGCAGATTAATTAGTCAGACAAAATCAATTTTGAATTGCTCACAAATTGAGTTTACCCAGTGTCAGTCTGGCAAACAGCAATCAAAATAGCAGATATCCTGTCCAATGTATGCTTGTTTGTTTCTTCCAGTGAGTACATCAGCTCATATTTATTTGGTACTAGCCGATTATCCAGCGTTGTCCAAGTATTTATTTATAGGGGGGAAATGTACAGACCAAACATAATTTCTAATGTTGGATTTCCCCCCCCCTTATTAGAGAGAGGACCCTTGTAGAATACTGTGAAGCCATTACCATGGCAATTCCAGTGTGCTGCATAGTAGAAGCCATTTTATGGCAGTACAGTAGAAGCCATTTTAAGGCACAACAAGCTATATCTTAATAGAACACACCCCGAGAGGTTTTAGGAGTGTCTTATCACAACAATATTTGTTTCTAGAGAGTAAGCCATCTGTGTACCAAGTTTGGTTTGTGTCTGTGTGTGTGTGTGCATGTGTGTGTGTAGAGACAGTTCTTGATTTATGAGCATGAACTCATAAATTGATTTATGATTTATGACCTCCAAATTTCCCTTGCTAAACAAGGCATTTGTTAAGTGAGCCATTCCCCATTTTATGAACTTTTTTTTGTCATGGTTGATAAGCAAATCACTACCATTATTAAGTGAATCGTGCAGTTATTAGGTGAATCTGCTTTCCCCATTGACTTTGCTTGTGAGAAATTCCCTGGAAAGGTTGCCAAGGACAATCCCAGGACCCCAGGATGCTGCAGCCATTGAAAATTCATGCCAATTGCCAAGCATCCAAACTTTGATCATTTGACTATAAGGATTTTCCATTGATCATAACTGTTAGAACTGGCCATAAGACACTTTTTCAGTGCCGTTGTAACTTTGAACAGTCATTAAATGAATGGTTGTAAATTGAGGATTGCCCGAATATATATGGATGGAGCCACTTTTTTTAGCTGAACAACTAGGAGCATCCACAGAGTGGGTTGAGAAAAATCAAGATGGTATATGCATCCCAGAGAGCTTCTAACCTGGGTTTCAAAACTGGATATAATCAGGAGTTGCCATGAGCTACAGAAGATCTTGACTCTTTGTTGCCTCATACAATTTTGGTCACACAGAGTGTTGCAGCTTAGATCAGACAAAACTAGGATTTACTGAAGTCCATCTACCTTAATGTTGAAAAACATTCTACATGTAGTCCTCAATTTACAACCATTTATTTAGTGACTGACGTTACGCAGCACTGAAAAAAGAGACTTATGACTGTTTTTCACACGACCGTTACGATCATGGTCACGTGC